TTTAAGTACCATTTCAAACGTGTCGTAGGTAATGCAAAATTGAGATTTGAACAATTTTTAACAGTTATGATTCAGATTGAAGGAATTATAAATTCCCGACCATTGACACCCTTGTCTTCGGACATTGATGATTTAGAGGTTCTAACACCTGGGCATTTTTTAATTGGTAGAGCAATTAATTCGATCCCTGAGCCAGATATCACGGAAGTTAACATTAACAGGTTAAAATTGTGGCAACAGATCACAAAATTAGTACAAATTATCTGGAAAAAATGGAACTTCAATTATTTAAGTCATTTACAAAATCGATCTAAATGGCAATGTTCTAAAACCAATATACAAGTTGGAGACATGGTCTTAATTAAAGATAATTTGCCTTGTTGTAATTGGGCGGTTGGTCGTATAATAGAAGTATTTTATGGTAAAGATGGAAAGGTTCGCGTGTGTAATGTAAAAACTCAAACTGGAACTTTCAAACGACCAATTACCAAATTATGTGTCTTACCAATACAAAAATGAGTATTGTCTTTATAGTTATTGTACAGTATTGAATGTGCTTCACATAAAATGTCATTATGTAACTGAAATGTTATATTGTATTGCTTTGAGTTGTACGCTTATGTATATGGTAAATGTCTAATTATAATAATGATTTTATGTAATAGTACTTATTCAAAATTGTTTATGATATACTTGTTTAATTTTTTTTATGCTATATCTTAGTTACAATAGTTGAATGCTAAGCATTGCAACGCGGGGCGGCATGTTCGCGCCTGCGCATCTGTAATGTAATCCACGCATGCGCATCTGTAATGTGATGATCAGACGAGTTTGAGAATCGCCATCGACGGTATAAGAGGGCTGGTCACAGCTATGAGTTAATTGTAATTAATTATGAGAATTAATAAAGAATCGAACCAGCGAATTTATTTAGTGTGTGTTATTTGGGACGAGACCCAAACATGATCCATTATGATTTAAATAAAGACCAGTTTGCCTAATCCTGAACTAACAGTTTTTTTAAACTGAGATGAAATTTTCAAGTTTCTTTTTAAAATTTTTAGTTATTTAAAATTATTTGTTATGGTTTTGCTAAAGATTAGTCCATCTGATTCTAAACTAACAGTGTTTTCCATACAAGGCTGATGTTTTTGAGTAATCTTTTAAAAAATATAAATATGTTAAATGATCCATTATAGTTTTCAGTAAAGACTGGTTTATATAATTCTGAGCCAACTGTATTTCTCCTGCCGTGGGCTGAAGGTTTCCAGTTACCATTTAAGGTATTCAAACGCTTAAAATGATCTATTATGCTTTCAATAAATACAACTTTATTTAATCCTGAACCAATAGCAGTTTTTGACACTAGACTGTTGTTTTTAAGCTTTCTTCTGAAATGTGCAGCTATGTTAAATATTTTGTTACGGAATTTTTGTTATCAGAAAAGACCATTCTACATTATCCTGAAAAAGTGCTTCCATGCTTAAAGTTCATGCTTTCAAGTTCTCTTAAAAAAAAAATTATATTTTAAATTATACGTTACGATTTCAATAAAGAACAGTTTATCTAATCCTAAACGATTAGTTTTTCGTTAACGAGCTTATGGCTTCAAGGTCTTTTTAAAATATTCAGATATTTTAAACGATCTGTTATGTTTTCAATAAACTTCAGCTCCTTAGTTCTAATCCGCAGAAGCATACCTTCTTCGCTATGTTTCACTACAAGCCAATTTCTTTGGATTTAACTTTACGTTCTATCTTCGCTAGACAACAATAGCATTATCTGAACCAAAAATATTACATTTATTTTCGTCGACAAATACGCCCTAATCCCTACATGATAAAAGTCAGCTCGACCTCCATTTTATGGAAAAGAAATTGAGTTTTTTTGTTTTCCTTGATTATGAAAACTTTTCATCTAAAGAAATGACTATAGTATCCAGAACGCTTTTTTTTTTTTTTTTTAATTTCAGAAGAAATGGTGCATCAAAACTCTCATTAATGCTTTATAAAGTTTTGTAGCACTTAACCGTGCATTAATTTTTTTTTTTCTAAGCGCATTAATTTTAGTGAGCGATCGCTTCTACTATAATTCCGAACTCTGTTTTCTCCTTTAAACTGGTGCATAAAGAGTAGAACATGAAAAACTAACTTTTTAGCAATTACCTTGTAGGGTTTATATTTATTTTAACTAATATTTATTTTAAGCTATCTTTCCTGTCAAGCCTTTATTTTCCCCTAGAATTGCCAATGCCAGAGTATGTAAATCGTAGTAAAACGCGCAGAGTATTCAAATTTTCGCAGAAGTAAATTGAGTTAAATAGAAGGGAAACGAGATTGTAAGTGTGCTTCTTGAATCACGAGCGTGAAGGTTGCTTGGTAGAAAGTTTAAGAACCGCGCGTTTCGGCCAGTGTGCCTATTTCGACAGTTAGTTGAATCTTTCAAATTCTTAATCAGAAAGTTTGCTGAATCTCAGCTGTATCTTAGAACGCGGTAAGTTAGTTACGATTATAGAGCCTCGTAGGTAGTGACTTCGTTATTTATTCATCCTGTAATTTATTTTTAGTTGCATTTTTGTCTATTTTGTTCAACCGCCGGGTCGGCGTAGTTTGTGAGCGTCAAGTGAACGCAACTGTGATTTCTAAAGTGAAATAAAAAGGGAGTTAAACCCTTCTTAAGAGTTTGTGTAATTTCCAGTTCATAGCAGTCACTACTACTGTTGCTGACAAGTTGGGGCCTCCTAACATCACAACCTGATAGAATAACAGACGATTTTATTATTCAGGATACGGAAAAGTAAACAATCTATAAATAATAAATAAAGTAATCTTTCTATGCAAAGTGGAAAACTTTCTAAGAGAAATTAGCACATATTTATGTTACACATGGAACACATGAGAATAATCTGGGAACAAATGCGTTGCACATGGTAATAACGTAATATCTAGGAAAACAAAATAAATTCAATTAAAGATTCTTTATGATACTTTTAAGCATTTCGAGCTGCCCAATCGGGATAATGGTTAGCGTCACTGACTACCGTGTCGAAAGGCCCGGGTTCGAATCCCAGAGAAGGCATGGATATTTGTAAATGTATAGTGTCGGTGCGGCATGGCGGCACTCTAAATTTACGGCGAGCCATAAGACCTCTTATGTGATTTGCTGGAAGGAGAGAGGGGTGGGAGACCCTCGGATCCATCCCCCGGGGTGCTATCCATGAAAAATGGGGGTGGAACTGAGCTAAATCGCACTGCCATCTGTATGGTGTTCAAGCTAGCGACAGGCGTAAATGTGCGCTCCTTGCCACCAGGAATCTCGTGGGCTGATGCTAATGTCAGACAAATGAGCATAAGTAACAATAATAATACGTTTTTTTTAATCAGCTTTTGAGTTACTTTATAATAACATATTATGATTCTGCTCAAATAACACTTAAATTGTTGCCATATCAAAACAAAAAAGAATACAGTAAAAGAGTTTAAGGTTTCATTTCGCTTAAAAAGTAAGCAAATTTGCTCCTCCAAACTTCTGTAAGCATTATTATCTTGGAACAGGATAAATAATAGCATTTGCTTTCTAAAATCTCAAAATACAGAACGTCTGAGATGATTTGTCTCGGTTTAAACCTTTGGCGAACTGTTCTGGTTTCATTGAACTCGCCCTTTACTTTCCCCGTATGTAAAGTAAACATGGGCTAATTTCCTTTAGAAAGTCTTCGACAAAGGCATCGCTTAGCTTAGGCAAATAAAATCAGTGGTGTGGTTGCCTGTTTGATTAAACAACTAACATACAGGCTCGCAATATTTTGTTTATAATCCTTATGGTATAAAATAATAACTGCTGTAATATTGCTAAGAAATCAAGGTAAAATGGCGTTTTAAATAATTAAACTTTTCCCCTGCAGATTAAAATAAGTAAATCCTTTTACAAAGCCGAAGATAAATGAAAATCTTATTGCATTCTCGATTAAAAACAATGGCTGTTTATAACGAACATGATTTTGTTGCTAACTAAAAGCACTAACATGTCTTCGAAATTATTATTTGTTAAAAAAAAAAAAAAAAAAAAAAAAAAAAGTTCTTTTCAAATGCTTCAAATTTTTGATAAATGCAGAATATGTGCAAAATGTTAACTTTTAACCAATATGGTGACAATTTTATGCATATTATAATTGCATAATAATAATATGTAATTATAGTATGCATAAAATTGTCACCATATTGGTTAAATGTAATAATATGCAATAATATAATTAATGGTTATATGCAATGATATAATTATATCATAATAATAATGCATAATTATTTTATGCATTGTGTTCTATAGACGCTTAAGTAAAATAACATTATCAGAAGACACTTCCTAAACATGCAATCAGTTAATAATGGAAATAAATTTAATTCTAAGATAAAATACGCTAAATATACTGAAAATTTTTAATTTACCAAAATGCATACTCTTCAAGTTAAAGAATGAAGTCATTAACAGAAAAATGACATTATTTAGTCATAGATTAAATTGACAGAAAGTAGAATTCAAAAATCGTTTGACGTTAATATTGATAAAAAATAAAAGAGAGTTTCATTTAGGAATATATATTTTTATCAGCAGCAAAACTATTCCGCCGAAGACAAATTATAATACAGAAGAATTAAAAATAATTAAAACTATATAATATATTGCATTTAAACATCATACATGATAAACCAATTATATAGAAAAATAATATATTAATATTGCTGTCTGTTTATGAAAAGGTACCACGTATAACTTTAAAACGTAACTAGCTTTTCTATTTATTAAATATTGTTATTATTATCATTGAAGTTAGTGCCAGACTAAGATTGAAGTTTGATTCTGATTAAAATTATATAAAAATATTACACGAATAATTTAATGAATTACGTAGTTCTTTGATTAATTTGATCATCAGAAAATTACGTCACTAACTCAGAAATACTTGATTAGAATAATTTGTGCAATAGTAATAAATCACATACCGTTTAAGGTTGTTTTCAGCGTTGAACTTCGCAGAGCATCATGTTGCTTCTTGAAATTCCAAAACAGAATGTTTTAAAAACAATCCTCCCCGGGTGGTGATGTTCAAAGTTCCGGAGGAAACCACAATAACAAGACAGCGAACACCCACAAATATTGATGGTGATTTTGTTTCGTTTTAAGAAAGCGCGTCTGGCACGGCTTGTTTCAAAATCGCGTCCGCTCGCGGGCGATATTAGCGAAAGAGTGAAACTTTCGCGGCTAAAGAGCGACATGCGAGAAACACAAAGATACACCCTCTGATCCTCTTTTCCTGACGTCATTTCGGAGGTTGCCATATTTGGTGATTGATCGCCTTTTGGTGAATATTTTTTTTCTAGGTGGAACTTTAAAACGTAAGAAAAGAACAATTTTTGTTACTCTTAATTCCATATAAAAAACATTTTAAATCTTTACAGTTTATAAATATGCCTAATTTCTTCTGGCTTTTTCAGAAAAAAACTTTTTCTTGAAATCGTGAGTTTCGTCGAATTTAAAGTATAATCGAATCCAACCATTAAAACATTACATTTGAATATACGCTTCAAAAATTGGATGAAGAAAAAAAAAAAAAAAAAATCTGAAATGTTTCAGATTTTAAATTACGTCCAAAGGGGCGTTTTTTAACATTTTGTGTGTTACCTTTCTTTATTAAATATCATGTTCCTCGCACTTAAACCATAAGATCCAGTGCAACAGCAATATCGCAAAATAGTTTTAAAACGAGCATATCTTTAGAATTTCCGATACAGAGACTCACGCGCTGGAGATAAAAATGTTTTTTCTGCACAACGTTGCCATTGCTCGCTTTGAAATCCTTGAGTTTGTTAATCAAAAATTCGTCAAAGTTTTAAAAAATAGGAAATCGATGATAAAACAAATTTCAAATTTCAAATTTGGTCTTCCACTTGCTCATATTCGTTGGAGGATTACGTTATTCAAAATTCGATGACTCTATGTACCGTTATTTTTTGACAATGTGAGAAATATACATACATTTACGCAGATTTTCATTATTTAATTTCTTCAAATATAATGCAGGACTCTAACATTTTATGGCAACAGTTTGAAAAGTGAACCGACATTTATAGGAGTCCGACGCAAAATGCCAAAACGAAAGCAATAGTCCTTCGGGACTCAAGTCCCTTTGGACTAAAAAAAAAGATGGAAACTTCTTTAGCGCAGTCTGTTCAAAATTTTTCGTCTAATTTATATTACATTAAATGAAAAATGACGGTTTGTTATATTACCATGCATTTATCACTTACACGACTTGGTTCTTATTACTCTAGGCCCACCAGCGGCCGAGCGGTAAAGTCCCTGAATACTGGTAGTTCGGTCCGAGATTCGAATCCCGCGAACGGGCTGGCTGCATGGGCGTTTTCGTGGTTTTCCCCATGTGTAACGTGTATACGAGCCGGTTTCCCTTAGAAAGTCCTTCACGAAGACATCCCTCCCCTTAGGCAGATAGCCCTAGTGTGCTTTGCCGTAATTAAATAAACCAAACCAAAGCTATTGCTCTAAATCAGTGGTCTTCAAACTTTGTGACTGGGAAACACGCAAAACTATTTTGTGGACTGAGAAAAACAAATAAAGCATTTTCTGTTTGTTTTTGTGAACTTTCTACTATCCGTAGAAAAGCAAATGTTTTAAAAGCATCGTAAATATGCCACTTTCATGTGGGAAATAAAAATGAAATCATCTCTTCATCATAAATTTATACTTGAAAGTTGAGCTTTTGCGTATCACTTTCGGTACGTTTAATAGAAAAATGAAAAAAAAAAAAAAAAAAAAAGAGATTTTAGATATTTAGTTTTGCGTTTTATTTGATAAGTCGCGCGGAGCCCCCGGTTCCGGGGAACACAGTTTGAACACAGTTTGAACTAGAATATAGGGACATCTTCATTCTCGCATAAGATCCGGCCACTGTCTCAGAGTTAAGCCAGGTCGATTTTAAAGGAGAAACATCCCTTTAAAAAAAATATTGTTATTATTTATTGGTGCTCCGCCATTAGGCATTAAGCGGGAACGGAGGGATGCCCATGGAGGTCTTTTTAAGGAAAAATGAATCGTATCCATGTTACATTTCAGGACACCATGAAAACGCCCATGAATCTGGCCCGTTTGCCAGGATCCGAACCCGAAACTACCAGTGTTTAACGGTTTTTACCGTTCGCCGCTGATGGGCCAAGAAACATCTTTATTAAAGTCTTCCTAAAATTTGTGGCCTTCAGTTACGAAACCATGTATTTATCATCCCCGATACTCGGCAATCGTAGCCACTGTGAGAAGAATATGTTCTTTAATTCATCTTGCGCTCTTTCTCATGAATAGCCAGTTTTCAAAGTGTTGCTATTTGGCAGAGATTTCTAGTTGTTTAACAAACTGAAATATTAAAAAGCAATAGAGATTTAAATCTTTATTTTTTTAATAATGTAACTGGCAATTTAAATTACAATTACTTTATGATGTTCAATACAAGACAAATAATAACTTTTACGAACATTTAGAGCAAAATTATAGGAACAGAATCAAATTGTTAATATATTTAATATTTTATTTTCTTGAAATGTAATTAATAATTTCTAATAATTTTGGTACGGATGTATTTTAAAACACATTTAATTTATGATGCATAATGTATAACAATTTTTAATTTTCGTTAACATTTGCAGCATTATTTTGATTAACAAAAGTCATGGGAATAGAATTCTTTCATGAATGAGAAGACATTTTTGGCCACATGCCTACCTCTTTGATATTTCCAACTCACTAATTTAATTTTTTTAAATTAAAATATCTTCTTTCTCTTGTTTCTAAATTTTGATTTACGTTCTTCTTCTTCGTATATTATATGCCTATTTTCAAGTTATTCTTATCGGAACAGGTAATATCTCAAAGATTGCCTTTTAATTTTGCATTTGTATATTCTTATTTCATTTAAAGAATTTCTTTGGTTACTTTATTTTGCGACACATCCAGATATAATTCAGAAATATGACTCTGTTGATAATTCTTTCAGCTGCCTTTTAACAAGGACTAAGGAATTATCAACTGCTATTTAATATTTATCATTCATTTTTTTAATATTTAATTATGATTGCTTTATTTTTGTATTAATTTACTTTTATTTCAGTTTTTCTTTCCAAGTTAATGTTTCAACTGTTTTTAATTTGCGTCTTTCTCTCAGATAGCTTGCCACTGTTGGTTAATATTAATTCTATAATTTTATTTCTTTCTTAATTAACAAATATTGTGCGACATTAATAGTATTTTTAATTAAATATTCTTCAGTTTCTGGTTTCCCCATGTGTAATTTGTATATGAGCCAGTTTCTCTTAGAAAGTCCTCCACGAAGGCATCCCTCCCCTTAGGCAGATAGCCCTCGAGGCTTTGTCATAATGACACACACACACATTGTTCTTCAGTTTCTGATCTATTTCTCTCTATATAATTTTATTGCATTTTCTAACTTTGTTGTTCTAACTTAAATCCGATTAGTTCTAATCTCGATTCTAATCTTAAACTCTAATTGTGATTAATATTCCTTAAATTTAAGCTTAAAGTCGAAAAGACAGGCATTTTCTAATTGCGATTAAATCTGACTGCGATTTGAATTGTGCTAGTATAATTTAATTGCAGTTATATCTGTTCTAATCGCGAATTCTAATTGCGGTTCATATTAAATAATGTTTTAATAAAAAATTCGGGAAAATACTCATTTCTAATTGAGATTAATTCTCATCGCGACGCTAATGGCGATATTCTAACTTATCGTTAATTATTAGTTTCTAATTGCACTATTCTAATTTTATTTTAATCGCGAAATCTAACTGCGATATATATTAAATAATTTTTAATGTGAAAGTCGAGAAAACAATCATTTTTTAAAGTGAATTATTAAATTGCTATTTTAACTGCGCTGTTATAATTTAATTACAATAAATTATATTCTAATCGAGAATTCTAACCGCTATTGAAATTAAAAATTTTTAATAAGGTCAAAAGCTACATATTTGCTAACTGCGATTTATTCTGCTTGCGATAGATATATTTACGCTGTTTTAATCTGATTGCGATTAATTCTGTAAATGCGAATTATTATTGCAAATAATATTATTAAATCATTTTGATAGAAAAGTTGAGAAAACGCACATTTTCTAATTGCGATTAATTTTAATTGCGTTATTAAAATTTAATTGCGATTTCAGTCACCGATTAATATTAAATAATTTTTAATTCCAAGGTCGAGAATGTGTAGCCATTTTCTTACTAGCATTCTTTTCTCTCGAACTTGGCGAGTTTGGCGAGCAAGGCTTGTTTGCAAATGCGTGTCATAGGTTTCGATGCGGAACGTTATGGGTAAAAGACGTGGCCCATTTTCACACTTTCCCCTCCATCCCAACCTCCTCCCTCGGTTCATCTCTCCTTTCTCTCGAACATCTCCTCTTCCCACTCCCGCTTGAAGCTACAAACGATCAATTCGACCACTGCTGGAATGTTCCGATTTCAGAAAGAACGCAAACGGGAGTGATGCTGAAAAATTGCACGTGTGATGTTTCGTTGCTTTTGCTTCTCCCTTGCGCATTTGCTCGTTCGATTTTCGCTAATATTTCCTTTTCCATACATGAAAAAATTCCAAATTCCTTCAAAGTTCAGCTTTCTTTTGATTTTCATTTTTGTTGAGATTCTCACCTAAGACGGATGAATTTTGGAAATTATTTTGTTTTCGGACTTCTAATGAATAATAAATAAATTAGAGAAATAATAAATAAAATAAAAGATAAGTAATTGAAAAAACTGTGTTGCAGACTGAAAATTTCAGATTACAAGCTAACATATATATATAAAAAAAATTGCTTACCATTAAATTTTTAAAATATTTACATTTAAAAAAACATAAAATTTTTAAAAATGTGTTTTATTTATAGAACAAATGAAGTTATTAATATCTTTCATTAAGTATAACAAAGCTACAAAAATTTATAAGAGTTATCGGTAAGCTATATATTATTAAATAATTAATTTTAATTTACATCGATTAGATATAATATTAAAAATAAAGTAAGAATTAAAACTATTAAAAGGTGCGTTTATTACTTTTAAATCATTCAGTTTGTTAATCCATAGCATACTGATTCAGTTTAAAAGAAAAATGATAGAATGAATTCTTTGCCGAATTAAAAAACTCCGAGAATCGG